CGCAGCTGATATCCTTTGCAGCTCAGGCGTTTTCAAAACAATTGCTATTGCAAAACTCTTGAGCAATATAGCACATGCTTTCCGTGAAAAGCTTCTCTTTCCACCACAAATCTCAAAGCCTACAGCCTGAGCACTGCAGGTTGTTATATCACGGAAATAGAGGAAAATATTTCTTCCAGGCATGCCGTAGCAATACATATAGTAGAGGGGTGGGTTCTACTTCCAGCTCTATTCTGATTCCGATTCCGATCCTTGCTGGCCTTCCAAGCAAAGGAGGAAGGGAAGAGAAAGCAAGGGAAAGGAATCCTTACCTCCGGTGTTCTGTCCGGGATGAGACGGAGGAATTCTCGGCGCGCCATGAAATTCCTGCCGCCCTTCTTCTTTGTCTCTGGCAACAGTGAAGATTCTTCCAAAGAATCATTCAGTTGGTTTTCCCAAGTTGGCAGGATAGCTGTCTCGACGACAATGCCGACGTCTTCCAGATGGCGCTTCAGAGCCGACTGGCAACAAAAGGCCATGGTTTATTTTAAAGAAAAGCGATAGGAGAAGGCAGCAAATCCAAAGCAAGGGATCAGATCTTGAAAAATCTCTTTTCAGATGGGTGTCTGTACGTTTGAATCAGTCTTGAATCCTGGCAACTGCCTGGACTAATTCCTGGCGTTTTCTTGGCGAATTTTGGTGTTACGCTGTGATCAGGGCTGGGCTGCTGGAGGTTCGCAAGGGTTCGGGAGAACCTCTAGCTAAGATTCTGTGCAGTTCGGAGAACCCCCAAATCCCACTCCTGGCTGGCCCCGCCCACTCCACCCCGCCCCTCCCAGGAGTGCCCACGCAGTCCGTTTTGGATGCAGGTAAGGGCAGGGTGCGCATGAAGGCTCAGGGAGGGCGAAAAACGGGCCTACGGAAGTTCAGGAAGGCCCGTTTCTGGCCTCCAGAGGGCCTCCGGAGCCTGGGGAGGCCGTTTTCGCCCTTCTGGAGCCCGGGGATGGCAAAAACGCCCCCCCTCGCTGTGGTGCAGCAGGCTGACTAGGCCACGCCCACCATGGCCACATCCACCCAGCAACTGGACAGAGAACCCCTTGCTAAAAATTTTGAAGCCCACCCCTGGCTATGACCAAAAGGGACTGGCCCAAGGTCACCCACCTGGCTTTGTGACTAGGATGGGACTAGAACTCACATTTTCTAGCCTGGCGCCTTTAATCACTACACTAAGCTTAGTCTACCGTAGTCAACCTCAAAGGTGTGGGAAAAAATGTAGAGACTTTAGGAACAGAGGCGGTGTGGAGTTTAGTAATGGGACTGACTGAAAGGAGTGGTGCGGTGGCCTTGAGGTGGAGATCTCGCCTCGCAATCAAGAGGCTGTGAGTTCGATCCTGGGTAGAGGCAGATACTTCTCTCTCGGGACACAATGAGAATATATCATTTCAAAATTGATTTTAGGGATTTTATGTGTAACTTTTAACCTGGAGTTTTTGTTTTATTTTTCTGTTTTATTGTTGTGAGCCGCCCTGAGTCCTCTCGGAGAAAGGGTGGCATATAAATCTAAACAAACAAACAAACAAACAAATGCTGAACAAAACTCTGCACTGGCGACAGGAAGGGTATCCGGCCAGTAAAACACTCTGCTAGCTCCATTCAGTTGCCCAGACTCCACCTAGCAAGGGATTATTATGGGGCTGTTAAAATATGATGATGAATGGGATTGACTGAAGCGTGAGAGGAGGACATCAAATGTCATTTTCATTTTTTTGAACTTTCTGGAAGTTTCAGGGTATAGGAAGGAGTTAGCATTTTCATCTATTGCACTAAGGCATCCAAATGTTATTTGGATTTCTCTCACAACCCAATTAGCTGGACAGGAATGCATTTCGGGTGTCCTCTTTTCTCGACCCCGCACCTATGAGGCTTAAAGGGAAGGAGTAGCCCAAGAACTTACCTCCTGGCTTCTCTCCAGTGTGGCCAGAGAGTCCGTCAAAGACTGAAGGCAGGGTCCAACATCGAAACGAACAAACCACAACTGAAGGAGAGAAGAAGGGAGAGAGATAAACAAGAAAGCACCTGGGAAAATCAGCTGTCTCTTCAGTGGTCGGCAATTACTTGCGGATAAGTAACAGATTTCACAGATGTGATGCTATATCATTTGTGTAAAGAAATGACTCACATCCAGAACTTCACATCCGCCTACAACCCTCCAAAGAACTGATATCTTATCTTTAGAATCCGGAATTCTTGTTGCAAAATTATCATGTTTCATGGGATAGATGTAGACAGATGACTTGCATCCAGTTGTTGCGGATGCTCCAACACAGGAAGTTTTTAAGAAGAGACTGGACAGCCATTTGTCGGAAATGGTATAGGATCTCCTGCTTGAACAGGGGGTTGGACTAGAAGACCTCTAAGGACCCTTTCAACTTCTGTTGTTCTAACAATCCCAGTTCAATTAATCAGGGGAACGACTTGCCTTCAGAAGTTGTGAGCGCTCCATTGCTGGAGGTTTTTAAGAAGAGACTGGACAGCGATTTTTGTCCGAAATGGCATAAGGTTTCCTGCTTGAGCAGGATTGGAGGGGGGCAGAAAGTCCAACTTGGGGTCTGCTTCAGCCTCCTGGTGTGGGGCTTTGGGCGAAGGCTGGAGGGAAGAGCCACTGGTGGCGAAGAGCCAGAGGGCCTCGTTCCAGTGGGACTGCCTCATGGCCTGGAACTGGCTGACCATCTCAGCCCACTGAGCCTCCAGGCTCCGGTACCTGGCCTTGCACTCCTGCAGGTCTTCCCTCTGCTTTGAAACCGTATCCTCCTAGTCCTCAGTGAGGGGCTTCTGCTAAGCCTCCTTCTTGGTCAGATCCAATTTGAGCTGAGCTGTTTTGCCAACTTTTTCTTGTGGTGGCTGCTTAGCTCCAACAACTGCTTCCTGTTGGGGCCCTAAGGAGCCCGGGCGGGAAGGCGAGGAGGGGTGGGAAGAGGGGTGAGTAGAGGCTGGCGAGGCACCCGTTGACGGGAGTGACATTGAGTTGGCCATGCCCACCCAGTCACATTTTTTTAAAAAAAATTTTTTTGATTTATATGCCGCCCTTCTCCGGAGACTCAGGGTGGCTTACAATGTGTTAAGCAATAGCCTTCATCCTTTTGTATATTTATACAAAGTCAGCTTATTGCCCCCACAAACTGGGTCCTCATTTCACCTACCTTAGAAAGGATGGAAGGCTAAGTCAACCTTGAGCCTTGGAGAGATTCGAACCAGCAGAAATTGCAGGCAGCTGTGTTAATAACAGGGTGCACTAAACCACTGTACTATCAAGGCTCTACATGACCATCTAGCCACGCCCACCCAGCCGGTCATGAGGCAGATCGTATTAGTGGTCCGCGGGTTTAAAATTATGAATTTAGTGGTCCCTGAGGTCCAAAAGGTTGGTGACTCCTGGACCAGAAGACCTCTAAGGACTCTTCCAACTCTGTTATTCTAACAATCCCAGTTAATCAATTAATCAGTGGAACGACTTGCCTTCAGAAGTTCTGGTTGCTCCATCACTGAAGGTTTTCAAGAAGAGATTGGACAACCATTGGTCTGATCTACTCTTCTGTTAGGAAATTCCCCTTTCAGAAAAACATACCTGTGGGACAGCACAGTTTTTGTCCGGAATATTTGTCATCCCTACCATGAATCCAAGTTTCATGAAGGCTTCGTTGGCAGCCATTAGCCTCATATCTGTATTCACATTCATCTGGTTAAAGAGAAGGAAAAAGAAGACGACGAGAAGAATTGAGCTGTGGCTACAAAACCAGGATTTTAAGAGAAGGAAAGCACTTGAAAGGACATCCGTCTTTTTTTTTTTTTTTTTTAATTTGATTTATATGCCGCCCTTCTCCGGAGACTCAGGGCGGCTTACAGTGCGCTAAGCAATAGCCTTCATCCTTTTGTATATTTATACAAAGTCAGCTTATTGCCCCCACAATCTGGGTCCTCATTTCACCTACCTTTGAAAGGATGGAAGGCTGAGTCAACCTTGAGCCTTGGCGAGATTCGAACCCTGCAGTAATTGCAGGCAGCTGGTCTTAATAAGCTTAATAACAGGGTGCCTTAAACCCCTGTACTACCAAGGCTCTTGGTAGTCTTGAGGGATGAACGTGACTGCAACCCACTGACCGGATGGCCAGTCCGTTTCTACTTCAAAACAATCCATTTATTTCTAACTTGTGACTTTGGAAAGCGTGTACAGGTAGTCCTCGAGTTACGAACCACAATTGAGCCCGAAGTTTGTGTTGCTCAGAGAGACAGTTGCTCAGTGAATTTTGCCCCACCTTTCTTGCCACCGTTGTTAAGTGAATCACTGCGGTTCGTCAAATTGTCAGCTTCCCCGTTGACTTTGCTCATCAGAAGGTCGCAAAAGGGAATCACATGACCCCGGGGACACCGGAACCGTCACAACGACGAGTCGGTTGCCCAACATCTGACCCGTGGCCACAGGAATTCTGCGATGGTCGCAGGTGTGAAAAATGGTCATGTCACTTTTTTCAGTGTCGTTGGAACGGTCACGAAATGGACTGTCGCAGTGGTGGAATTCAATTTTTTTTACTACCGGTTCTGTGGGCGTGGCTTGGTGGGCGTGGCAGGGGAAGGATACTGCAAAATCTCCATTCCCACCCCATTCCTGGAGGAAGGATATTGCATAATCCCCATTCCCATCCCACTCCAGGGGGAAGGATACTGCAAAATCCCCATTCCCACTCCACTCCTGGAGGGAAGGATACTGCAAAATCCCCATTCCCACTCCACTCCTGGAGGGAAAGGATATTGCATAATCCCCATTCTCACCCCACTTCAGGGGGAAGGATACTGCAAAATCCCCATTCCCACTCCACTCCTGGAGGAAGGATATTGCATAATCCCCATTCTCACCCCACTCCAGGGGGAAGGATACTGCAAAATCCCCATTCCCACTCCACTCCTGGAGGGAAGGATATTGCATAATCCCCATTCTCACCCCACTCCAGGGGGAAGGATACTGCAAAATCCCCATTCTCACTCCCACTCCAGGGGAAGGATACTGCAAAATCACTCACCCCACTCCAGGGGGAAGGATACTGCAAAATCCCCATTCCCACCCCACTCCTGGGGTAAGGATATTGCAAAATCCCCATTCCCACCCCACTCCAGGGCCAGCCAGAGGTGGTATTTGCCCAGTTCTCCGAACTACTCAAAATTTCCGCTACCGGTTCTCCAGAACCTGCCAGAACCTGCTGAATAGCACCCCTGGACTGTTGTAAGTTGAGGACAGCTTGTATTTCAGCTTTGATCGAATGACTTCACATTTGCCTTTGGCCGTAATCTGCTGTGAAGTCTACACATCTGGATTGGACTCAACCTGACAAGCCACCTCTAGGCCAACCTCTTAGCCAAGACAGAAAATAAATAATGGATCCGGGCGAGGTGACAGAACAATTACTGAGTCAGCTCCACGGGCTTCTGTAAAAGTCGCTCTTTAATTTTTCATTAGGCAGAAGGGAAAATTGTCAAAAGCACAGGGAGCCATCCGACGACCTCAACTTAATTACATTTAATTTGACATCACTTTCGACTTCGCCCAGTGGAATCAAAAGAACATTTGCAGGCAAGAAATTAATGCCTCTAAATTTGGTCTCCTGAAATTTTAGGAAAAAGGAATCTGGGCTGGCGTAAAAGCCAGGAGTTGGAAATCAGATGTGTTTTGGGACTTCACCAAATTGGCCTATCCTGATTTAGCATTTTTGGGTAAATGTAAAAACGACCTTTGACTCACGTGGTGGGATTGAACATTTTTTTACTACCGGTTCTATGGGCGTGGCTTGATGGGCGTGGCATGATGGGCGCGGCAAGGGAAGGATACTGCAAAATCTCCATTCCCACCCCACTCCAGGGGAAGGATACTGTAAAATCTCCATTCCCTCCCCACTCCACGGAAAGGTTACTGCAAAATCCCCATTCCCTTCCCACTCCAGGGGAAGGATACTGTAAAATCTCCATTCCCTTCCCATTCCAGGAGAAGGTTACTGCAAAATCCCCATTCCCTCCCCACTCCAGGGGAAGGATACTGTAAAATCTCCATTCCCTCCCCACTCCACGGGAAGGATACTGTAAAAAAATTTTATTTTTTTTTTAATTTGATTTATATGCCGCCCTTCTCCGGAGACAAAGGGCGGCTTACAGTGCATTCAGCAATAGCCTTCATACTTTTGTATATTTATACAAAGTCAGCTTATTGCCCCCACAAACTGGGTCCTCATTTCACCTACCTTAGAAAGGATGGAAGGCTGAGTCAACCTTGAGCCTTGGAGAGATTCGAACCAGCAGTAAATTGCAGGCAGCTGTGTTAATAACAGGGTGCTTTAAACCACTGTAGTACCAAGGCTCTCCATCCCCACTCCAGGGGAGTCTCCATTCCCTCCCCACTCCAGGGGAGGTTACTGCAAAATCCCCATTCCCTCCCAATCAGCTGGGACTTGGGAGGCAGAGAATAGATGGGGACGGGGCCAGCCAGAGGTGGTATTTGCCGGTTCACCGAACCACTCAAAATTTCCACTACCAGTTCTCCAGAACTGGTCAGGACCTGCTGAAACCCCCCTCTGGTTCTTCCAATACATTGTATGCTGATGAAGTTCCCTTATTTGGTAATGAAATATTACCAAGGACCCCACAGTCCAAGACATAGTGATTCTAACCCCAGGGAAATATTTTTTTCCCATGCCTTTCAGAGTTCTCCTGATAGAGCAGGCCAAGAGAGTTGAAATCACAAGACATACAGAAGAAACCCCCAAACATGATTCATGCATGACTACTACAACAGCAGGATCAATGCGGTGTCGTAGAATGTACTGATATCAACTTCCGAGATTAAAGCAAGCATTGTCTTTGTGGAATGCTTAAGACAATGTCTTAAGCATTCCACATGTGGGATTCCTGCCAAACCTCTTTGTCACTTGATAGATCTTGATTCTTTCCATCTGTTGCTCACCAATAGCAAGGAGCCACCCAGAACAGCATGGTCAAAGAAGGAAAAAAAAATATACGCACAAGAAATATCCATTCCTCAAGTGGATGAGTGGTGCGCCTAGAGGTGGAGGTCTCGCCTCACAATCAGGAGGCTGTGAGTTCAATCCTAGGTAGCGGCAGTTATTTCTCTCTCTGGGCACAATGAGAATATAGCTGCTGAATGAAACTCCGCACTGGCAACAGGAAGGGCATCCGGCCAGTAAACACTCATCTCCATTCAGTTGCCTTGATGTTGTGGCTCCGTTGCCTGAGCCTGGGCTATGGACAGATGCAGACTCTGAGAGTGAGGGGGAGGAGTTGGCAAGGCCTCCCTCTCCAGGACCCTCCTCTCTGGCAATGCCTCCGGAGGACACCGAAGGCCAAACGATAGGCTCAGAGCCAAGCACGTCCCCGCAGCCACAGATAGACAGTGACGAAGGAGATAAGTGCTGGCTGGACCCTCAGCAGAGGCGCAGGGAGAAGCGTGCACAGCAGAGGGGAAGGCGTGCCAGAGATTAGCTGAGTCACTGGACCACACCCCACAGGGTATAAATATGGGTGTGGTGGCCGGTTCAGTTTGTGACGAGCAAAAACTGGAAATACTCCATGATCTCTGCGTTACTGCGTTTGCCTGCTTTATCGGACTGCATTTGGACTAATCCTTGTATTATTGACACTCTGCCTGTTTTATCGGAATGCTGGCAGTCTAATCTTTGTTTTGTGTGAGTAAAGTCTGAATTGGCAGCTAGCCACTGGGTTGCTGCCAGCTTTATCATCAAAGAGTTTTGTCGTGTGGCTTATTAACTCCGGGCTGTCTGTGGGGGGGGGGGGTGCGTGGTACGGGGACAGAACACCTGACTCCAGCCCGATGCAAGGGATTATGGGGTCATTAAACGACCAAAAAAAAAATGGAAATGGCAACTGGATACAATCTAGTTCCATCTTACCTTTCTTTGATAGTGATGAATTATGACTAGGATGGCCACAGCAGCCAGCAAGGCAACAACAGTGACCAAAACACTGACTTTCCAAGACTGTCCAACCGAAAAAATTTGCAGGACGGAATAAAGGTTGATCCAAAGAGTCACGTAGACAATCTGAAAATGAAAGAGATGGAAGTCAGCAGCTCTTTTCTCAGAAATAATAATAACAGGGGGAAATAAAAATGCCAAATCTGGTCTCAATATTTGGCTGACTGTGCAACCAATGATAATAATAGTTATGTACTTATTTGCTTCTTAATTTATTAAGTGTAGGTACCATCCATCTCAGAGATGGCGCCAACATGGCTAGTTCAGGCATTAAGAGCAATTAAGAGCAATATTTATTCTTGAAAAGATTAAAGGAGTCACCATTGGCGAGGTGAATGACATACGAGTTTGAGATAGAAAGATAGATAGATTGACTAAGATATAGTTAGAGATAAATACTATAGATAGATGATAGATGATAGAAAGAGATGAGAGAGAGTGAGTGAGAGATGAGATGATAGAGATACTAGAGAGAGAGAGAAAAGACAGATAGATAGATAGATAGATAGATAGATAGATAGACAGATAGATAATAGATAGATTTGACTAAGATATAGAGATAAATACTATAGATGATAGAAAGAGATGAGAGTGAGTGAGAGATGAGATGATAGATACTAGAGAGAGAGAGAAAAGATAGAAGATAGATAGATAGATAGATAGATAGACAGATAGATAATAGATAGATAGACTAAGATATAGTTAGAGATAAATACTATAGATAGATCATAGAAAGAGATGAGAGAGAGAGTGAGAGAGATGAGATGATAAATAGAGATACTAGAGAGAGAAAAAGATAATAGAGATAGATAGATAGATAGACAGATTTAGCCCACATTAAACCACAATAAAGAGTGAGAGATGATAAGATAGATAGATAGATAGATAGATAGATAGATAGATAGATAGATAGATGATAGATAGATAGGCAGGCAGACAGATAGGCAGATAGATAGGCAGATAGATAGATAGGCAGATAGATAGATGGATAGAAGGATAGATGATGGATGGATAGATATGGATAGATAGATAGATGATAGACAGATATAGATAGATAGATAAATAGATAGATAGATAGATAGATAGATAGATAGATGATAGATAGATACATCGATACATCGATAGACAGACAGACAGACAGACAGACAGACAGACAGACAGACAGACAGAGATTTAGCCCACTTTAGCCCAAAATCTTGATCATGAGGATACAGCAATGGTCATAAGTATAAAAACCGGTCATAAGTCGCTTTTTTCAGTGATGTTGTAACTTCGAACAGTCACCAAATCAACTGTTGTACGTCCAGGACTACCTGTGTAGCCCTTTGTCACCAACAGAGCACTTCATGCCCCAAATGTTTTCCCCATAGTTCTCTATGAGGTTCTTACTGCAGCAATGGCCATTCTTATTCCTCTGGAGTTGTACGATAGGTACGTTCTCATTTCTGGCTCCAGCACAGCTCGTTGTATCAAAGTTTCCCACTGGTCTTCTGTCACCTGTTTGGATAATTGCACACCATCAGACTCATGTCTAGAACCGGAGGAGGAGATTTGGATTAAACATCATGGGAAATGTACTTGGGATAAGAGCTGTTGAATAAAAGAATGGAATGGGATGGAATGGAATGGAATGGAATATGGAATAGAGAAGAGGAGAAGAGAAGAGAGGAGAATGCAGAATAGAAGAATAAATAGAATAGAAATAGAAATAGAATGGAATGGAATATAGAAGAGGAGAAGAGGAGAAGAGGAGAGGAGAGGAGAGGAGAGGAGAGGAGAGGAGAAGAGAAGAGAAGAGAAGAGAAGAGAAGAGAAGAGAAGAGAAGAGAAGAGAAGAGAATGGAAGAATAAATAGAATAGGAATAAGAATAGGAATAGGAATAGGTATAGAAATAGAAATAGAAATAGAAATAGAATAGAGTAGAGTAGAGTAGAGTAGAGTAGAGTAGAGTAGAGTAGAGTAGAGTAGA